ATGCTCCACCATACGTCATTGGGATGCGAGTCAATTGGAATGTCCATACAACCGTGGCCTCCAGTGCCCATGTCCTTGGAATTAAAGTTCACCTATCAACGTGATAGGGAAAAATGAGACGTATGAACGCCTTTGAAGGTCTCCAGATCCTACAGAGCTCTTAAATTTAGCAATTTACAGTACATTTACCTGTTACAAATTAAACAGCAGTTCTCATCTTTTCAATGTCCTGACACAAGGGAACATGTTGATCCTTAAGACTGTCCAAGTATTATGTACGGTTTAGCGTCAGTAGAAAGGTTACCAATGGCATTTTATGTGTCAGAGATCTAAAATATGCAAGTTAGATGTGAACCCTCCCACCACTTTAAACGCAGCATTCACAACACTAACTTTGCGCAAGTTATCCCTTTCCGAATAGTAATCTATCTTGGTACGTAATGTTGAATAAGTACCAAATTTAATCAAAGGTAAAACATACAGTGCGACTGTTATTACAGAGGAAAATATTTTGAACCACGGACACAACTACATTGATGTTTACTACGAAGGCAAATAGGTTTTGTGCAGAATAATGGGCCTTTAACTGACACTTGGAATTCGACTATCTCAAGCCATAGCAACACCGACCACTCATGATAAGAAAATGCACTTCAAAGTGATGCGCATGTAAATATTGTGACATGATACAATTCCTGCCTCGATGTCAGCGCATGATCGCCCATCGCGTAAAACACATGATTGTCAAGGAAGCACGTGTATTCCAACAAAACATCAAAGGGTCACCATCATGGCGACATCGGAGAGAAATTGCTTGAACACCCTAATACCAGTAAGAAATGCTTTCCTTGTGAGAAATTCATCATGATCATGCAGGAGGACAGGGACGCCATACAACGGCGAAAAGCCGTAGGCTCTTATGGGATTTCCGCCTGCATGGGAATTGTGCCACCGTCGCAAGAACCGAGAATCAGTACTACCGAAAAAGACTCCCACTTCAAGGCGCACACCAACCGAACATGCTGCTGAATTCAAGGCATCTAAAATTGGATCACTTGATACGCGCGAGACTGATAATTTGCCATGTCCTGTAGTAGACATATCCTTTTGATTATATTTTATCTAACAAGAAAAATAAATAAAACAGAACCTAGGCACCATATATATGAAGTAAATTCGCAATAAGTTCATCAACTCACCACAATGCCCTCTCCAGATTCATCTGCCCACTTGTAAAGCTGACCCTCAAAAGCATCAAAGTCTATTGTTGGTGGGAGACGGAAATCGACTTGAACTTCTATTTCAGAGGGAACAATATTCGCTTCAATTCCACCTCTGATGACATTGATGTTCAGTGTCACTACACTGCCCAAAGCCAAATCGTTACCCTTCATCTCCTCCAACTTCTTCTTCTCCGACTCCCGATACGCCAACAACCTTAATTTTTGCACTCATCAGACACACCTCCGTCACCTACCTCCCCATCAACCGATGCAACTTCTCCACCGCAGTGTCCTCTATAAACCTCGAGCCGTGTCCCGACTTGCCGGGAATCAGAAAAGTCACCCACCATGGCGAGCGCTCCTCGTAGAAGGCATAGAAGACGTCCGGTCGTGGACATGCTATTCCCTCATCCATACACAGTCCCACATTCATCTCTGCAAAACTCATCTCGTCGCGAGCACCACGACGATTCGGCTTAACGCCCGCAACAAAAGGCTGCATCCCACGCCCACCTCCCACCTCCTCATCCGGCACAAAGGTGAGGTAGATGGTTCGACGAGGAACAAAGCCCTCCAACTTCAGACGACGAACAGCCTCGAGTTGCTGCATACCCACCGACTTCATGTCCTGCACGTGCACACAAGCCGATAACACAAGTCACACAACAACGACACCACATACCTGAGCTCCTCTGCCGTAAATGTTCCCCTCCGACGACATCTCGCCACCAAATGGATCGTGTGACCACTTCTCCCTCTCAGCAGGCACCACATCCATGTGCGAGTTCAGCATGATGGAACGAAGGGAAGGCTCGCTTCCACACCAGCGCATTATCAGTATTGGATTGTTCGCTACGATTTCGGTGACAAAGCACTCCAGACCTAATTCAGTGCCCACATTTTCGAGCCAGTTGACAGCAGCGGTGTAGTCGGGATTAGGGTGGACAGTGGGAAAGCGGAGATAGGTGCGAAAATTCTCCACAGCAAGCTCATCGAGTTCTTGTGAGGAAGGCATGGACATGCTAAAATCAT